ATTTTTTGGGACAGGCATTTTGGGTTTTCATGAGCTGTATGCCATAATCATCAGTATTAAAACAATTAAAGACCTGAAATATTTCAGTTGGTGTGCAATGAATCTGAGATATATGAAAGTTTCATTTTTATCATTACATTATGGAAAATAATGACCTTTATCACAATATGCTCATTTTTTGAGAAGGACCTGTATATAGCTACAACAAGAGAAGTCAGTAGCATCTCTACCTGGATTATTGAGCTTGGACGTTTTTTTTCAGTAGCTTCTTTTTTCAGAGATTAAAATGTTTTTGCCTAATAATGTTCTGTCTGCTAGTTCAGATTTAGACATACCACTAAGTACTGCCTAGGTACTTTGGGTTGAAAAAAGAGGCAGGTCCACAGCAAAATATAATTTAATGACCTGTAATTTGATGAGTTGTTCAGATCACAAAGTTATACTGAGATAAAAAATATAATAAAATGACTTGTTTGTTTTGAAGTAAGACACGCAGTCGTCACAGAGCTGGACATTGAACACTAGGACACTCAGCCACAGTTACACACAAATGCACATGTATCTATCTGTTCTTAGGACCCAATAAATATTTATTCTTTGCACATACAAGGAATAGAATTGGGATTCATCACAACACCAAATTGTATTAAATCACAAATACTAATAAGATATACTCACACTTTTTCTACCTTTTCCACCCTTAAGGAATAAATGGTATGCTGCAACAGGAATACAGTACTTGAAAAGCGAGCAACAGAGACAAATACTCAAACAAGGATTAGTAGCCTAGCACATCGTGTGTGTTGACAATGGTTTTAACAGCCGTGACTCTTGTAATCAACTCGATTTGAGCGAGCGCTTATCGAGTTGTAAAAACAAGTTTCACCTTTCAGTTAGAATGATGTCCTTCATTTGTTAATTATGTTAAAATGCCACTGTTGTAGCGCTCATATAAAAAGTGCAGACATTAACTAGTGTATGGTGCAAAATGCTTATAACCTCTGGGATTAAAAGTGGCTTAGCAATATAAACCGTTATTTATTTGCTTCCATAAAAAAATAAAATTAGCAGTACACAAATATTGCACACCTAAGGAGTTTAGATTAATCAGATTATTTCCTAAACTATGAAGAAAATGTACAAACAGAAATAACAAAGACTCTGGCAGTATAAATACACATTTGGATGTTCAGTTTTAGCTCGATACATGCAGCATGTCTCTGGATGGGGCAGAGGTGGAGTCACGGCTGCCAAGGGGAGATGGACTTGGGCTGTGCAGTGGGTGAAGGTCATGGTGGAGCAGCAGGTAGTTCCACAGGAGGAGCTCCTCAGTGATGCTGGGCTTCCAGTTCCCTCTGGCGGCAGCCCACGGCAGTGATGAGAGCAGCTCCTTTACCGCTGCCATCCTCAGACAGTAGGAAGTTGACGTCACATTTAGGAGCAAGTTCTTTCACTGTCTGCAGGAAGATCCGAGAGAAGCTGGGGAAAGACGGCAATAAGAAACTGTTGGTCTGGTAGTTTACCACTCAAATCAGAGCTTTAACAAAAATGTTCCTTTCCAGTGTAGACAACATCTATGGCTGTGATTTAGGTTTTACAACAAGTATAATTCGCAAAGGATTATTATAATAGATAGCTTGCTTTCACTGACATCAATGTACAAAAGAACCAAATATTTTATTCCCATTTTGGGTGCCATATTCAAACAATTTCAAATATATGAAAAGAAAAATCCTGCGTGTGTGGCTACAGACACAGTTCATCGTTTAGATCATCTTTCCCTTGCTGAAAAAGTAGTGATGTCTGCAGCTGTAGTTTACTCATCTAAGGCCTCTTTCTTTTTTAACTGTTTGAGAGGCCTTCAGGGAAAGAATGGACAGCCCCTCAGCCTGAACATATACAGGACATTTGATCATTTTTAAACAAATCGCTTCCCACACGCATGCTTTTGGTGTGATTCTGTCCTGGATCTTACTGTGGGTGCAGCTTATAGAGGGTGCCATCAACGCCCACGGTGACATCCAAATGGTCCAGTCCTCTGTTCTCACGGATCTTGTCCACAACAGCCGCCATGCCGGCTCCGCATATCTGCGCGGCACGGCGGGACACTGTGCCACACACCTCCTTGACAATAATACTGTCATCACAGGTGCTGTCGAGTCCCAGCTGCTGTAAGATTGCCCTGACCTGCAGCAATGCCAGCCGATCACTGTGAAGGAAGAAAAGGCGGGTTGAGAGCCAGTCTGAGGTCAGCCAACAACAGCGCAGTCACTGGATACGTCTCAGCTGTTACCAGAGGCCAAGGTGAGCTTAAACCATAGCATCGCTCTTCATTCACTCTGGTGTGCTGTTACACTGCTTGCTACCTACCATAAACTGGTTAAGCTTGTGCTTTTATGTTGATTTCATTTATATAAAGGTTTTAGCAAATACATTTTTGCGCATTATGGGATTGATTTTTATGTTTTAGTGGGGCCAACATCCTGTGTGAAGAGGATCAACAAACTGGGCGCCCTGACACGCAACCTGGGCTCAAACTAGCAGCCTCAAGATTACAAAACTGCTGCACTTAACCACTAAACCACCGCAGCCCCAATTATATTTACCACTTAACAGTGTTGAATGGCTCAGAAAGTTTGTTTTAGTTTAGTTAAAACCTTCAAGATTCACTGTTTTTTATTTTGTTTTGTTGTTAAAGTATTTGTGGTAGAATCTGAGACTGATGCTGCTTTAATATGCTCTAATTTAATGTATGAAAGAAACAATTTGCTTCAGCCTTTGTTTCTGATGGAGTGGTCAAGAGATTAACTTTCCAACATGAAACATTTCTTTTTTTATCTCTTGATTTTCTTTGTGTAATATTGAAAATAAATGCTAACTGGCAGTAATCTAACACTGTATGCTGTTTGTTTCTGAGCGCTCACATTTGCCCACTTTGTGTATTTTAATTTAATCCCAACTAATTTGCACATTTAAACAACTGGTTGGTGATTTGACTTGGCCAACAGCCGCTGAAACTGCATAAATGAACAACTCCGTCACAACTGTGGATTGACTCACCTTTCTATTTGTGACAGGAACTTTGTCTCAAAGATGCCTCTGGTCTTCAGTGTCTCTGAGATTTGTCCCCGAAAGAGGAAACCACGCTTGGTGAGATCGATTAAAATCTGCCGGACAATTTCACCCAGGTACATTCCACTGCACATCTTCTCATATCTGAGGTGCACAACAAACAAAATCTGATGAATCCATTCATCCATTATCTTTACCCACTTTTCCTTTTTGGGTTGTGGGCTTCACTGACGCCCATATCCGCCGTCACTGTGCAAGAGGCGGGGTCGCTAGTTCATCACAGGAAATCAGATTCATTAGTGAGCAAATATACATGTAGCAAGACGCTGTGGCTGAGCGGTTAGAGTAGTCGTCCTCCATTGCAAGAGTTGGGGGTTCAAATCCACCAGCAGTCACATGCCTAAGTGTCCCTGGGCAAGACACTGAACCCCTCATTGCCTCGGACGTGTGTCCATCGGTGTATGAATGTGATAAAGCTCTGATTATTCTCTTTAGAATGATTTGTTCAATTATCTTTGTAGAGATCTAGTATAGAGCTGTATGAACGGATCAATGAGGCACAGATTGTTGTAAAGAGCTTTGAGTATCTTGAAATAAGATCAAAAGGCGCTGTATAAGTACAGTCCATACTTTTATGAATCTGTCTAAAATGAAAACTGATAAGAATATGAGCAGAATTAATTTGCTTCTTAAATTAAAGACATTGCACTCTTGACCTTTGTTTGCCTTCGTTGAGTGAGTTCTCATCTACTGCCTGATCGTAAATCGTCCTGATGTCATCCAGGCAGCCATTATCTCCAAAGGCGCCCCACTCCATATTCACACACATACGGCCCTCATTTCCCGGCACTATCTCAATGTTTCTCGTCTCTTCCATGTAGCAGGCGTTACTTCCTGTGCCTGTTGGGAAACAGCAACAGCTGGTACATCGCAGGAAACATAAAAACAATTACAACTATAGTACTAGTTTTTACTTGTGGGCACCTTTGTGAACGTTGGAACATCTTAAGAAATACTTAACTGTGTCGTTTTTACTTTACAAATATATATTGAATACCTCTTTCCTTAAAGTCCTATAATTTGAGATTAAATGTGTTTTAAAAATCTTTAAAAAGTAGGTGTCTCATTTACCTGCAATCAGTCCCACTTCACAAGTGGGTTCCTCATATGCACATGTCATCATTGTTCCCACCGTGTCATTCACTATGGCCACCACATCCAGTTCAAACTCCTAAAATACATCCAGAAATGGTCTCTTAGAAAAGGACAGTAAAATAAACATGTTTCAATAAAACACAGCTGAAGTCTGAAGATTAAAGACAACTTGGCTAAATAAATGTGAACTTCTTCTTTACAGAATCATTATTAGCTTTAATTTAATGTTGCTTGGTTCTTGGTTGCATATTGTGTCATATATTTACTGCGTGATGTTTAAGAGAGTCCAGGCAGAATGGAGGGGATGGAGAAAAGTTTCAAGACGGATTTGTGACAGAGGCAGCAAAGGTCAAAGGGAAGTTTTACATGAAAGTAGTGAGACCAGCTATGTTGTATGGTCTGGAGACAGTGGCATGACTCAAATATGGGAAGCAGAGCTGGAAATGGAAGGACGGATAAGATTAGAAATGAGATCATCAGAGGTGGAACAACTGGGAGATGAAGTTAGAGAGGACACACTGAGATGGTGTGGACATGTCCAGAGGAGGGACAGTGGTGTGGACATGTCCAGAGGAGGGACAGTGGTGTGGACATGTCCAGAGGAGGGACAGTGGTGTGGACATGTCCAGAGGAGGGACAGTGGCGTGGACATGTCCAGAGGAGGGACAGTGGTGTGGACATGTCCAGAGGAGGGACAGTGGCGTGGACATGTCCAGAGGAGGGACAGTGGTGTGGACATGTCCAGAGGAGGAACAGTGGCGTGGACATGTCCAGAGGAGGGACAGTGGGTCTACTGGTAGAAGGATGTTAGAAATGCAGCTGGGAGGTGGTTCATGGAGGTGGTTAGAAGGACAGAGTGAGATAAAGGAGGATGACTTGCTGTGACCACCCCTGAAAAGGAAACAGCCAGAAGAAGAAGTTGTGTTTCTAACTTGTGTTGTATGACCGTATGTACATACGGCACTGTTATGTGACTGGAAGTTGTGACCATTTGAAAAGGCTTATTAATAAGGCTTTAGTTTTGTCAATACTAAACATGTTCAAAAAAAGGTAAGAATCATATGCTTATTTAATCCCATCCCTTTTGTAATGTTTAAAAAATAATTATGTCACAATCAACATGACCTAACGATATGATCCATATAAGAACTTGTTTTGAACCCAAATACTGCTGTTTTATATCTGGACTCATCAAGCATTCACACTATTGTTTTACTTTGTCTTTATCCTTACTATCATTCTTCTCACTATCTCAATTTATCCTTGGATGTTATGGAAACAAGACGCTCTGACCCCCCGAGACACTGTAACATCTTTATCAGGACTATGGAAACTATCTGGAAGCGTTCATGGACAATTTCACTGTCTGGTCATCCCCCCCACACACAAAATGTATCATGTCTGTTCTATGTTGCTTTTGTGCTGAGGTAGATTTTTTGTGAGAGATCTTCTTATATACCGTGTGTCCTCATGTTTTCTTCCCCTGTTCTTGTTTAAGCGATGAGGGCAGCGCTCAGTGGGAGCCGCAGCCCTGGTGCACTCCATCTATCCTTCAGATGGCTGTACGGAACAAAATTCAGCTGTACTCTCTGTACAATGACAATAAAGTTTATTCTGATTCATATATCAAAACATTCAGCTCCTTCAGGACACCTTTGTCTTTTGCTGTTGGTGCTACTTTAGCTTTAAGCTAGCATTGCCTGTTTTTTTCCTAACATTTCATCACTTTTAGCTTTTATTAAGCATTTTTCTGCTTTTTGATAGTAGCTACTGCGTTTTGATTCTTCTGCCCCTAAAATTTATTTTCTAGCATTTTTTTTTTTACTAGCATTTGCTAATTCTAGCACTAAGCTAGCTCTTTTGTGCTTTCTGCTAATGTTTTGCTACTTTTGGCTCTAATCTAGCATTCTGCTTTTTTGGCTTATGTTTAGCTACTTTTGACTGTTAGCTAGTTTTTTTCCAGCATTTTTGCTATCATTTTGCTACTTCTGACAATAAGCTAGCTTTTTCTTCCTTTCTTGTTAGTGTTTCACACCTTATGGCTCTAAGCGAACTTTTTTCTTGCTGTTTGCTAATGTTTACGCAAATCGTTAAACTATTTTTGCTTAATTTTCAAATGTTCATATTAAACAAGTAGTGACAGTTCAGCGATTGAGAATTTACAGTTTGATTTCAGCTTCTTCAGAAGCTTTCAGCTAAATTATTCAGCAATAAGCATTCACACTGTATTTTCACAGGAATTGCACATTTTTCTAGTTAACATTAGTTCAGAGTAGACAGCTTTCAAATGTGAATAACCCTCATAAACTTTTTGTTCTCCTCTTAATTATAAAAAGACTGAATAAACCAGGAAAGTTATTGTTTGTTGGAAACATTGTTTGTATAGAAGGGCAGCACGGTGGCACAACTGGTAGAGCTGCTGCCTCTCAGCGAGCAGGTCCCTGGTTCAAACCCCGGTCCAGGGGCCTTTCTGGGTGGAGTTTGCATGTTCTCTCGGTGCATGCGTGGGTTTTCTCTGGGTACTCCGGTTTCCTCCCACAGACCAAAAACATGCATGTTAGGCTGATTGGTAACTCTAAAATTGTCCCGAGGTGAGTGAGAGAGTGAATGGTTGATTGTCTCCATGTGTCCCTGTGATGGACTGGAGACATGTCCAGGGTGTACCCCGCCCCTCTCACAATGATTGCTGGACATGGACACCGGTGACCCCATGACCCAAAATGGAAGAAGCGGGTAAAAGATAATGGATGGATGGATGTTGTATATATACCCAACATATATACGGTAATTCCTGGCGATCGTTCCGGAGATCTTTCCACACCTTGATTGGAGTTGGTAGTTTAAAATGATTGGGCATGATATGGACGGAGCACGCATCTCTATAGAAGGCCTCTAAGCTGACAATGATATATGAACCAAAGTCAAGTCATGAGGTCAAAAGAACTGCCTGCAGAGCTTCAATACCAGATTGTTGCAAGAAAATTTTTTGGAAAAGTCTACAAAAATCTGCTCAACTAAATGTTCCTTAGAACCTGCTTTAATTAAAAGGCCTGTTTGGAGAAAACCAGGTGCCACTTGTCACCTGCACACCATTCACACAGTGAAGCATGGTGGTGGCAGCATCATGCTATAGTGGTGCTTTTCAACTGTGGGGACTGAGAGTCTGGTCAGGACTCAGGATCTTAGACTGGACCAAGGGTTCACTCTCCAACATGACAATGACCCTGACTTGAACTTGACCAAACATCTTTGGAGAGACCTGACAATGGCTCCGCCAGCGTTCCCCAACTAACCAGACTGAGCACGAGAGGATTTGCAAAGACAAGCAGTAGAAAAGACTTCAAACCAGGTGTGCAAAAGCTGTTCCATTAAACTTGAAAGTACTCAACCCTGGAACTGTTGCCAAACCTGCCTCAACTAAGTATGAAGTAAAGGATCTGGATACTTGTGGAAATTTGATAGTTTTAGGGTTATTCATTTTAGTAAATTTACATTTCATTACATTGTTTTCATTCAGTCAATATGAGGTACTGAGTGTTGATTATTAAAACATAATTAATTTAAATTCTTGTAGCATCTGATTAAAATGTAACAAAGTGTAGGAAGTTTGAACACTTTCTCAACCCACTGTTATATTTCATTTGCCATTCCATTTGTTAACACCCAGCAAAACAAATGCACTGAACATTGTTTTGTTTCTTGTAATTCTTCTAGAAAAATCAATCACATTCCAAAGCTTTTATATTATTTAGTATTAGAGCATAGTGTTTCCATCCACAAACTACAAAATAGCAGATAGTTACTATGAGCAAATATAAACTTTGATCACACCGTTTTGAATGTGTTACTTACCAGATGTTCCCTCAGTATTAAAATAAAGTTAGGATCACGTTTATGTATAAATCAACAAAGAATAAATATGTTTACAAAGCTATTAATATTAGACCTGGTTATTTCTTAAAACCCACACTGAGGACAATGCAGTTACTCTCATTCTTAAACCGAGTAGACAGTAAAATATGCAAAGAGCTGCAACACTTAGAAGTGTTTTCATCTCCAGGTGTCAATACATGCTTTTACAACAAGACCACACTCTGTTCCAGTCCAGGTCTGTACAGTTTTACCTGTCTGACAGGGATACTCTCGGTTAATACTTACTGGCTCTTCCATCTAAAAGAGTGAAATCAGTTTAGAAACACACAGTACGTGGTATAGAATATATTGAAGTCTATGGGGCTACAACAGTTTAGTGTTTTTTATGAATAGTATTGAAAGCACAGCAAAATGCTTGCGTTTAATATTTTGTGGCAGTTTAATTAAAGCATAGTTAACGTTGTGATGGAGTTTGTGTTACCTCTTTTCTCTTGATCGCCTCCCTCAGAAGCTCTACGACATCTTCTCCCTCACAGTCTGTTGCCTTGAAGCCCTTCGTCCAGGTTACCAGAATACCCTGTGAAGAACACAATGCTTAGTGGAAACATTTTACAAGCAATGGAAAAGAAAAAGCAATTCAACAGCTGTGCAATGTTTGGATATACCAAAATCTAATTAAAATTAAATTGACGTAATTGCTGTTCTTGAAGTAAAATAATGGATAGCAGCATTAGATACTTTAGTATTCATTTTCAGGTGAATTTGAAGCTATTCAACATATGTCTCAAAAAGTGAGTAAACTGTGTCCAGCATAGTGGCACAAACCAATAATTCCCAACCCCAGGCTCTAAAATATTGGCTGAGAGCAGGGATTCATTAAAATCTGTGTGTTTTGCACATATGGTTTACAGATCAACACACTAAATGGTCATCAGAAGTGCATGGAATTTTAATTTGCCAAACACTGTTGTTCCTCACAAAACATTTTTTTAATCAGTGACTGTGTCCCTGAGTTCATATGTCAGTATGACCAAACATTATGGGTCAAACTTTAAATGTAAATGTGAAGAAAAGGTTGGAGAATTACCAGTCATTATAACGCAGAGCTTTACTTACTGTTTCAAATCACACATCAGGAGTAAATTATTTCCTGTTCTATTTTGTATAGGCTTCGCCCTTTAAGGCTATTGCTAGTGGGTTTATCCCTTTGCGCGCAATGCAGCACTGAAAACTTTAGTCCGTGCCCACCGGCTGTGTGGGCCCCACCCCCGGTTCATATAAATTACAGTGAGACCGGGCAATCGGTTCCCATTTTTTTTTACAGCCAGCTAGCACTGCAGAACAAAGAAGAAGAAGAAGATGTCCAGCACCAGCATCATCTGCCAGTGCCCGTCCTGCCAGACCGGCTACATTATGAGCTTCGACCGGCACGACATCTGCGAAGGATGCCTGGGTCCCTGCCACGCCGACCTTGCCTCCTCCTGCCTCCTCCTGCCGTCCCTGTGAACTCCTCCCTCCCGAGGAGAAGCAGAGATGAGCAGCCTTGTTCAAGGCTAACGCCGAGGAGTGTTTTTCCGTGGCGGGGTGCTACTCGCTGGACGACGCTGTCTCCTTTTTTGACGCAGAGTCACGCAGTGAATCGGATGATTCCTCCGAGAAAGGCAATGCTGGCAGTAGCCCCGCTGCCCCCTCCCTCCTGGAGAGCATAGTTCCCCCCCTGGAGCCAAGCCTGGCGGAGGCGCTTGGTGCAAAAGCTTCCAGGATGGACCAACAACCTGTCCCTCCAGGGTAGTATGACCAGATGGTGACAAAGCTCTCCAACCAAGCTCCCCAGTGGTCATTCCAGGCGGCCGCAGCGAACAACAACGTCGCCCTGCTGGCCTACAGCATTTCAAAGAGGCTGGAGGATGTGGACCTGCCGGAGGAGACAAAGAGCTCTCTCTGTAAAGTCGCTGACATTATCTTAAACATGTGCCACCTCTGCGGTCTGCCTGTCTCGCAGCGCCGCCTAGATGACCATGATCCAGAGGTCCACCTGGCTCCACCTCTCACCATCCTTGCCGGAGAGGCTGCAGAGGGACCTGCTGGAGGGCCCCATCAGTCTGGATCCACTGTTCAGTGCCAATTTCAGGACCATGCTGGAGAAGGCTCAGAAGACCGAGGAGGTGTCGGATACGGTATGTCACCTGGTGAAGTCACAGCCCTCCTCCCGTTCCTCGGACCACTAGAGGGATCGCCGTGGCCAGCAATAGCAGCAGAGGCGCTCCACAGCTGTGGCAACAACTTCACACACACCCCCCCCCCCCCCCCCACACACACACACACCACCAGAGAACAGTCCTTCCCGGCAAGCCAACCAGCGACCCAGCGCTTCCCCAGAGGCCGTCAGCAAGCTCCGCCCTGGACCAACCAGCTGCAGGTCCCACGGAGGAGACAGCCCAAGAAATGACTCCTTGGGGGGGAATGTGTGTAACTGTAATTATGATGTATGTTTTGCAATAAAACAGAAACATCACTCAGAGAGTAGTTTCATCTGATTCCAGCCTGACTGTCAGATCAACTGATCTCACAGCTGCTTCTCGCCACACATTCCCCACACAGAATGAGCCAGTAACCTCAAAACAGTGTTTTAAACGGCACCGCAGCTCGGTATATCTTACAAAAAACACTCGTCTGCCACGTCAGCTAAAAATAATGTTTTTCAGCAGACCAAGTCCGGTAAAAACCCTCGCTCTCAGCTAGAGCCTGTTTTATTTTCTGCTGTTTCTGCCCACTCACCACGCAGCGGGAGTAAACGTGTTTCTCCACGACAGCTGCAGCCTCCACCGAAACGGCGTCTCATTCAAAAAAGCGCTCGCGCCAGCTCACCTCAGCTCACCTCAGCTCTAACGTGAGACCACAGCCTGAGCTCAGCACAGAGGCGTACATACAGCACTTTCTGTTGGCACCCCCCTTGGATCCCCCCCGGAGAATCTCCGGAGCGGGTGACAGCGGTAGGGGCTTTAGCCTGGTTGACGTCTGTGAAAAACATGACACAACACAAAAACATGTGCCTACTCCCCGAGGGTTACTCAAAGAGTGGCAGCAAGTGTGTTCCCTAGACAGATGGATGGACCGTCTGATCAGCAGGGGTTACATGCTGCAGTTCACAGCTCAACCCCCACCGTTCAGAGGGATTGTAGAGACGGTTCTGTCATCTCCAGAACAGAGCTTTTCTCTCCAGTCAGAAGTTCAGGAACTCCTGATGAAAAACGTAATTTCCAGAGTTCCCAACGGAGAGGAAAACATGGGGTTTTACTCTCGCTACTTCCTGGTTCTGAAAAAAAAATGGAGAGATGAGACCCATTCTCGACCTGTCCATGTTCAACAAATCGATCATGGAGAGACAATTCCATATGCTGACAATCAAACAGCTGCTGGAGAACTTCACCAGAACGACTGGTTCACCTCCATAGATCTGAAGGGCGCATATTTTCACATTTCCATCATCCTGAAACCCAGGAAATTCCTGTGTTTCTCCTTCTAGGGGATTCCGTATCAGTACAACAGGTTCGGTTATTCCCTCGCCCCAAGCACGTTCTCAAAATGTGTGGAGACGGCTCTGCAGCCGTTACACATGGTAGGAATGAGAATTATTTTTTATCTGGATGATCTGATTTTATTAGATCAGTCCAGGCAGAAAACAGCTGTGCAGACCAAAATGCTAGCGTTACACCTGCTAAACCTGGGGATTTCTATAAACTGGGAAAAGAGTTCCGTTCTCCCGTCCTAGATGATTGTTTATCTGGGAGTGGAGTTAAATTCAACCACAATGAGAGCCCGTTTATCACAGCCGAGAGCCGAAGCTCTGTCAGCTCAGCTCTGCCGTGTCAAACCCTGCAGCGTAGTGACAGCTCTCTCGGTCATGCGGCTCCTGGGGATGATGTCATCGGCTCACACTGTAGTTCCGCTGGGCTTGCTTCACATGAGACGCCTTCACAGATGGTTCGCCTGCCTGCGCATAGATCCTGCGCGCCAGAAGAGGTGGATGATCTCTGCCCCCCTCCATGAGAACCGATCTGAATCACTGGGGGAACCTCCTCATTCTGTCAGAGGGAGTTCCCATCAGCAGGCCTATGTCACACGTCTCAGTTTTCACAGATGTGTCCCTGTCAGGCTGGAGAGGAACGTTTGTCCCAGGCAGTGGGAGCATAGTAGCCGGACCACATGTTGCTTCACATAAATGTGCTAGAATTTTTCACCGTCTGGAACGTGACTCAGCATTTTGCTCCCCTGCTGTGGGATCAGCATGTTCTGATCCACAAAGACAACAAAGTGAAGGCAGCTTACATAAAACGTCAGGGAGGTGTGCGCTGCGAGACAGCTGCTGTGTTGGGCATACAAAAACCTGCTCTCCATCAGAGCAGTGTACATTCCCGGCGTCTTGAACAGGGGAGCGGACATAATGTCCAGGGGCGGTCCTCGCCACGGGGACTGGAGCCTCCATCCCGAGCTGATCTCTCGGATTTGGAGTAGGTTTGGCTGAGCAGCAGTGGATCTGTTCGCCACACGGGAGAACGCCCAGTGTCAATTATGGTTCTCACTGAGCCCACGGGACGACCCACCATTAGGGGTAGACGCCTTTGCTTACAGCCCGTGGTCAAAAATGCTCCTTTATGCATTCCCCCAGTCCCGCTGATATCACGGACCCTGAACTGGGTCCGGGAGGAAAAGCTGTCATTCATCTTTGTAGCTCCTGAGCGCATAAGTGCCCTGTGGTTCCCGAATCTGCAGCGTCTGATATTGGGTCAGCCATGGAAACTGCCGTGGAGGGGGGACGCTCTCCTCCAGGCAGGAAGAGCGATCAGGAGTTACCCAGAAATAGGTCAGCACCTTTGGGTCTGGCCGCTGAACGGATCCATTTAGAAAAGATGGGCCTCCCACAGGATGTGGTGCGTACGATCCAGGGCGCATGAGCCGCTTCCACCACAGTGCTGTACACATCAAAGTGGACAGTGTTTCAGCGCTGGTGCACAGAGAAGAGTGTGGAGGCCATCTCATGTCCACTAGGGGGCGTTCTGTCTTTTCTGTAGCAACTGATGGACAGAAATTTAGCATTCAGCACAATTAAAACTTATGCTGCAGCTATTTCTTCTTGTCATGAGGTTTTTCGGTGACAGCGCTGATGAAGTGTTTTCTGAAAGGTGTACGGAGACACAGACTTGTGTTACGTCCACTAGCTCCACAGTGGGACCTAATGATGGTCTTGCACGCTCTGATCAAAGCTCCTTTTGAGTCTTTAGATCAGGTTTCACTTTAATTTCTGTCATTTAAAACTGCCCTGCTGTTAGTTCTGACGTCGGCAAAGAGAGTGAGTGTTTGTTTGCTCTCTCTGTTGCTCCCTCATGTCTCAGGATTCAAGGTGACGGCAGCTCAGCTGTACTGCGCCCTAACCCTGCTTTTGCTCCTAAAAGCGTCACAAGATCATTCAGATCGAGAGTGATAACCTTGGATGGGTTTTATCCTCCTCCTCATAATTCTGAGGAAGAAGCAACATCTCATCTCCTCTGTCCCATGCGCGCACTTTCGTGTTACGTGGTGCACACAGCCGCACTGCGCCGCTCTCAGCGTCTCTTCGTTTATTACAGGATCAGCTCTTCAGGACGCCCTCTATCCACCCAGCGCCTCTCACACTGGTTGTGTGAGGCTATTTCTGAAACTTACAGTTCATCTGGGCTGGACCCTCCAGAGAATCTCAGAGCACATTCCTCCAGAGGGTTTTCATCCTCCACGGCTCTGCATGGAGGGATGACAGTGGAGGATATTTGTATGGCGGCTGCCTGGTCATCGCCGTGTTCAATTATTTGTTTTTATCTACGTGATGTTTCTACTTTCTCCTTGACCCATTCTGTTCTCAGAGTTCTGACAGAATGATTTTTATTTGTTTCATGGAGCCTCACTTTTGAGTTCACACCTGCCTGCATGCAGTCGCAGTGTGAGATATTTATTATCAGTCACAAGTTCATGACTGCTGATTTTATTGTTATTAATCGGTTCATCTTGAGGAGCTGTTGGTCTGCTCTGTTCATCGTTACACTGTTACAATTCGTAACCTCTGTTGTTCCTATTCAGAGCAACAGGTCTGTTATCTCAGCCTTTTTCCTCACCAGAGATCAATTTTCTCCGGTGCGCTCCTGCACATGGAGCGCGTAATTATGCACACAGAAGGTTGAGTGATGAAATGTTTTTGTGAAAGCAGGTGCTTCATGTTTTTTGTCTGAATGGACCCAGTGAGGCATAGACTATATCCTGCTTCGCCTTTAACCCTCCAGCGACAGCCTTAAAGGGCTGCGCCTATACTCATAGATTCTGGGGTTACAGTATGTAACCAACGATTCGCAGTCATTTACACATCTTAAAGGATTACATTTTCATCACAACCAACAGAATACAACTCTGTTATGATCTGCCTCCAAGCAAATGCAAGACTTGTCTCTACAGCTTTATTTATTTAAAAATATATTTGGCTTCTACATATTTTTTATCAGTTTACACTGTTCTAACAAAAAAGTTTAAGTACTCTCGCTGCATGTTTACAGTAGATGGTGAGATAATGTTGTCATCACACAAGGAACAGTTTTAACTTGACATAAAATTTTTAAGAACACGGTTTTCTTTGATACTGTTTACATTTTGTTTCCAGTTATTAACCAATTGAGCACACAATCTTTTGTTGTTTATTATTTTACTTGTTTATCAGACCAGCTTTTACTTTATTAGCCCTCCAGAGCCCTCAGGTCCTGAAGAGCTCACTCTTACTTTTAGGTCGCCTGATTGAAGTTGGGACTAAAAGCCAAGGTGAGATGTCGTTTTCTGGTTTTTGGCCCTTGCCCGTGGAACAACGAGCACGAGGCTGAGACAGCTGAGAGTCTTTATGTTTTTAAACACAAACTTAAAACTAATCTGATCAGTTTGGCTTTTACCTCATTTAAGCAGTTACAAATTTTAAATACTTATCTGAGTTTTCTTTTACTTTTACTTTGAGTTATAAACTGTTGCTTTTGTAAGAAAGAAAAACTTTCTGAAATATATTACAATATATAATATACTGATATTTGGAGAAAAAAAATGCTAATTCATGTAGCTTTTCTGACATGCACAAATTGGAGCTCTGAAGAAAATAGTTAGGAACCTTAAATATAGTGTACATTACATGACCGTAACAACCTGTGAGAAAATAAAAATGCCTAAAAGGAAATCTCTAAACAGTTGTAAGCAACATATAACTGTTTGACAAACTAAATTGGGCAGAGATTTAGGCAGGTTATATCTTTACTACATCTAAAGGCATTTTTAATGAGATGTAACAGCAACATAGATGGCTCTGTTTAGGAAGTAAAGGTGAAGAACGTACTGCATCCAGGCTGGTTTGATGACAGGGGAAGGAGAAGGTAAATCCCAGTGGAAGTCGAGCACTTTTCATTCCCATGTAGTCCAGGAAATCAGAAATGCAGTGCACAATGTGGTCAAAAAGCTGAAAAAGACAGATTTGAGGTCATTTATGATGAAAAGTTAGGTTTCCCAATACTTCCTATTTTTAAGGTAATACATGTCAGTGTTTCCCCTCGTTAGCTTGCCATGGCGGGGTGCTCATCTCATCCATGATTTTTCTGATGGGGGGACGGAGACATGTCTGAGCGCATCTTGTACTAACAGTTGTGAGCGGGAGCGTGGGGCGTTCAACATGAGGGAGGAGGCAATGTGAGTGCTGCCTTTGGCTTTTTAGCTGGAGAGTCTGTATTTAGTGCCGCTACCTTAGTGATGTCAGTGCCGGGTGGGGGTGGGAGGGGTAAGTTCAGTTTGGTAGGTGGGGTGCTCAGTTCTGTTGACGGGGTGGGGCACCCCGCCAACTAATATAGCAGGCAAAGCTCTACATGCACAAAGTGAGCTTGTAAAAATAAATAAAACAATCTTTTAATTGCACCAAAGTTCATGCTCATTAATCCAGGTATAAATCCAACAATGTTCAGTCAGGTCACCTGACTGACAATCAATCAATATTTTAATTGATTTTTTATTTTCATTTTGTTAATACACTGAACGATGTTAAGACAACAGAGATAAATTTAAATAAAAGCTTTAAGTATGAATGTAATCCTAGCTCCGACCAAAAGACAAGTTTTAAGAGAGAAAGAGAGATCACCTCTTCTCCAGTGCCTTGCATCACTTCAATTGGAATGGCATAGATTTTGTTATGCATCTCCACAGATCGCCTCTTCCCGCTACGAATCTTAACCAGAAGTACACGGAAGTTTGTTCCTCCAAGGTCCAGAGCAAGAAAGTCTCCATTTTCTGAGGAGGAAAAAAAAATAGCAGAATTTAAAGAATCAGCCTATTTAATAATACCAGTGATAGTTTAGAAAAAGTTTATTTTTTCTTTTTAAGATTTTACTGAAGAACAAAGTATTGAATCTACTAGACTTAACTGCCAGCAGCGCAGTAGGTAACTATACAACTAGTTGAAATTACACGCCTCCAAGCTGAAACAGTTATTTTTCAGCTACTCCCTCCTGCAGGGGTCACCACAGTGAGCGGCTGTGGCTCAGTGGTTAGAGCAGTCGTCCTCCAATGCAAGAGTTGGGGGCTCGACTCCACCAGCAGTCACGTGTTGAAGTGTCCCTGGGCAAGACCCTGAACCCTTCATAGCCTCTGATGTGTGTCCCATCAGTGTTTGAATGTGATAAAGCTCTGATTAATGGTAAATGGACTGTACTTATACATTCATTCTACCTTTATTTAGACAGGTAAATCCCACTGAGCCTCGAGGACTCATTTACAAGAGAGCTCCTTTACATCATTTATACATTTATACAGCTCCTTTCTATCTTATTTCAAGACACTCAAAGCTCTTTACAACAATCTGTGCCTCATTGACCCATTCAAACAGCTCTATACTAGATTTGTACAAAGATAATTGAACAAATCATTCTAAAGAGAATAATCAGAGCTTTATCACATTCATACACTGATGGGACACACATCAGAGGCAACGAGGGGTTCAGTGTCTTGCTCAGGGACACTTCAGCATGTGACTTAATCTTTGTAGAGATCTAGTATAGAGCTGTCTGAATGGGTAAATAAGGCACAGATTGTTGTAAAGAGTACCTTGAATAGATAGAAAGGTGTTATAGCATGTACCATTTACTTGTATGAAAGACTTGACTTTTGTTTTACGTTGGAGCCCCACCTGACACAACCTGGGCTCAAACCTGCAGCCTCAGGATTACAAGTCCATGGCGCTCACTGCTGAGCTACCACAGCCCTTATAACATTCCTTGAAGTATGATATCTAAATGCAACATTAAGAGGCCATGAAAAACTACAGATGATGATTTTAATAACAGGGAACTGGCTGGTGGGAAATAACGGACAGCATTTTTGCTTCATAAATTACGTGTTGGTAGACCTCTTCAGATCGGTGGCAGTACTGAGTAAACCCGTGAAGTCTGGCGGATATCAACTTAGATTGGCTCTTGCAAATCTTATCTTGTATAAATAGTGGAGGGTGTTGGTTATCCAGGGTTTAGTTTTCTTTGGTTTTGTATTTGACAAAAGAGTGATATCTTTGTTGAGCATACTGATCACGCCTTTGTGCGGCTGATAACTTTTATCTGCGAGGCTGAAAAGTCTCCTGAATTTGGCGCGCCTGCTCTGTTACACTATGCCACTGCTGTCACCACGACTGCTGAAACTTTCACACAGGAACAAGCACACATCAGATTTGATACATTTAGTGAGTTTAGAAATTATTTTCCTCTTAAAACACAAAAAACTCCAACAATGTTCAGTCAGGCCATCTGGACGGTTTCTTTTATTTTGTTCTGAGACGATTCACCCTCCATCCAGAAGGCTTCATCAGTCTGAGGAAACTTCAAAACAAAACTGATTCTTCACCAACAGCTTACTCCAAAGTGGAAAAATCCAGTTCTGTTGTTGCTAAGATGGTCTCTGGGACACTCCCTCTCCTCCGGTGCCCGCCCTCTCCCTCGTCACAGTCATGTTAAACTGGTTCAAAACCAACAAAGTCCATGCTCAATAATCCAGGTATACAATCCAACAATGATCAGGTCATCTGTACGGTTTCTTTTTTGTGTGTTCCGAGACGTTTCACCTTCCATCCAGAAGGCTTCATCAGTCCGAGCAAACACCAAACAACCCAACCAAACCAGTTTCTTCAAACTGATGAAGCCTTCTGGATGGAGGGCAAAACATCTCAGCATAAAAAAAGAACCCGTCCAGATGACCTGACTGAACATTGTTGGGTTGTATACCTGGATTAATTAGCATGGACTTTGGTGCAGAAAACAACTAGCTTGCTGATGAAGCTCAACCTTTGGATCCAACAGTTTTTTACTAGCAGAGCTGCTCCTGTGTTTCCAGTGAAACCCCTTGAATACATGTGTAGTCCTGCTCATGACAGCACTGCTCTGAATGCCACACTACAAAGTTAGGACACTAAAATGTGTTTAGAAAAGTAAGAAATGCTAGGTGAAGCATGGATTTATTTTAAGCAGCTTTTACTCACCTGTTCCATCTGGTGTACTTCGAACAAATGTCGGCAGCATTTTGACCGTAGCTTCCTTGTGGGTCTCCTTCTTCAGGCCTCTTTCGATTTCCACTCTCATGCGTTTCTTCACTTCTAACAGCTGATTTTTGCTCAGCTTGAATTCTGCCAAAGTCTCCTGAATTTGGTGTGCCTGCTCCGTTAAACGGTAAGCCACTGCTGTCACCATGGCTGCGCCTTTGCTGCTGCCACTTTCAGAGAGCAGGAAGCGCACATCCGAGTCTGGAACCAAACGACGAACTGTCTTGTGCAGGCGGCGAGCGTATCTGTTCAGTGACAAGAAGGCGACACCCAAGAGCAGGATTCAGTGTAACCATTTCCACCACCATCACTTTATTATTCTAATATTGTTGGGTGTTGGCATAGATTTAGTACTGTATGAGTTTGAAAAGATCGTTTCTGTACAAATCTGAATACCTTCTGTATTTTTAACAGTTTTAAACACATTAAATTTAAAGACATCTAATGTAAAAAAACATCCAGTTGTTTTTAAATCACAACTGGAAGATAAACATTATTTTCTGAATTCAGATAACTTCAGTGATTATTTTGTGCAGAACTCATTTAATAAATCTTCTGAGTATTAAACCACTGAGCGTAACATCTGATGTGCTTCGTCTTTTTTAGAGGAATACATACAGTATACTGCAACTACCATCATTTAGACCAGTCCTTCTCAAATAGGCCCCCTGGGGGGGCATGTGCCCCCGTGGATCATTTTGCAGCAGGGAGCAGTTTGTTAGTTTTTCACCGTTCTCATTGTGTCAGGGTGCGTTCAGCAGCTGTTTGCTCGTCACCTCTCAGCCCGACTAATAATCAAGTTGTGAACACGTGTCTCGTGGTTTGTGGAGCCGTGATGGAACCGTGTCGCTCCCTCTGCTCTGACAAACTGTGACACCCCCTCAGCTGCTGACGCTCGTCTCCCACAGCACGCAGCAACAGAGAGTAGGAACTCAGAGAGAGAGCCACGGATCCATTAGTCCTGACTTCCTCATTTTCATTTAAATAAAATCAGCACAAACTGTTTAATTCATTTTGTTTTGTAGGTCAAAGTGTTTTATGTAACACTCCTGACTTAAAATGTTGCTGATCAATTTAATTTTATTATTTATTGACTGTATTTAATTTGATTTTTATTTCAGACAAATTGATGCACTTTAAGTCTTTTCTGTTACAGATTATAAAACAATGTTAATAATCTTTGTTGTCAGTTGATCTATATTTCTATATTTTTATTTTATTTTATGTTAATAAGGACTTAATGTTATGCAGAGGTGTACTTATAACAACTTATAGAAAAATGATACTATTTACAGTCGCTGCGGAGAGTTGGGGGGGGGGGGTTTACTTCTTCCTGTGGGGGGCGTAACAGAAAATACTTGAGAAGCCCTGCTTTAGACCAGGGCTCTTCAATGGTGGCCCGTGGGTGACTTCAGTCCGGCCCACCAATGACTTTATTTTATATACTCATACATACATAGGGGCAGCTGTGGCTGAGTGGTTAGAGCAGTCGTCCTCCAATGCAAGAGTTGGGGGTTCGAATCCACCAGCAGTCACATGCTGAAGTGTCCCTGGGCAAGACACTGAACCCCTCGTTGCCTCTGATGTGTGTCCCATCAGTGTATGAATGTGATAAAGCTCTGATTAGTCTCATTAGAATGATTTGTTCAATTATCTTTGTAGAGATCTAGTATAGAGCTGTATGAATGGGTCAATGAGGCACAGATTGTTGTAAAGAGCTTTGAGTGTCTTGATCAGATAGAAAGTTGATATATAAGTACGGTCCATTTACCATTTATATATATATATATATATATATATATATATATATATATATATATAT